TCTATCTATCTATCTAACTATTTAAATCCAATAAGTCTAAGTTTCAGCTGCTTTGAGGGAATAAAGATATTGTTATTCACTCATCATGCTTGCCAATGAAGTCAATTTGTTTTATTTTGAGGATTTATCGAGAATTATTGGTCGAGGCTAAATATGTGCATCAAGTAGGCAGTTTTTAAACCATGCACAAGAAATGCATCTTTTCTAACTGTGTGGCTGTGTTGTCAGTGAGAGTATTGTTCAGTTTGCTGTGGTGAGACACTGTTCAGTATTTGGTCAAGTAGTAGTAAAAATCTGTACTTTAAATAGTCTAATACACAAACATACAATGTACTCTGGCAGCCTAAGGACAAACCATAGGCAGGTTAGCCAACACATAAACAGACCCAAAAGAAGATTAACCTGCGTTGCACCTCACCAACAAACCTGTTGGGCTTAGTGGCATAAATAGAAGACAGCATGCAGGATTATCAGAAGCTCATAAATCTATAAGACAGTTTTCATTCAGCCAATCAACAGCTTATCTTCAACTGCTAATGTTAGAATGACACAGTAAAAGACCAAATGTAGAGGTCTACAAAAGACGAAACCTTCACACCTAAAGAGGGGAAGTATTACTCCCTGAGGTTCATACAGAACTAAAATACAAAATATTTTAGTTTTAAGTTCTAAGTTTTACCTTGAGTCTATGAAAATTTGCCAACAGTGTATCTATGTATTTTGTTGCTATAGTAGATATCTATTACATTTTTACAACATTACAACTATTACATATTTTTTGGCAAAACTCTTCAAAAAATGTTTCTTTTAAATTGGCTGTCTCCAGTACCGCTAGTAGCTGAACATTTATAATGTTCATTGTGAGCACTTCCTCAGCAACATCTTCCATGTTCAACAGGTGAATGGAAGGTCAAACACAGGACGGGACAAAGGCCACCTCTGGGGAACAGCGCCAATCAATAGCTTCCATTCTGCTCACAATTTAACAACAATGTAGACGAGCGCAGCGCGAGGCTGCAGTGGAGAGCCGACATTTCCCTGTTATCGTCTGCATGGAATGTAATTATCCAGCCCAGAGAAACAGCTCTTTCTGCATGAGACTTTCTTGGCAAAATATGCACAGCTTTGTTCTCACTGTCTATGTTGGCTGTCCACTGTACATAAAAATGCTCTATCAACACAAATACATTAGATGTGTACAATATGTTATAAGGAGGCAGAATATAGTTGTTATGGTAAGAAAGACTACAGATGTGACCTTCCTTCACAATATGCTGCTGCACTCTGCCTGTTTTCCTATTAGGGATTTATTTTGCAGTGCAAATGAAGATTGCCTAATTTTGAAATAATAGAGGCAAACTATTGCAAAGTTGTCCCTATCTATGACGGAATAAACCTACATTTCAATTGTAAATGATTTGTTTTGTATGTTTCCTGGCATATTTCTTTATTCTATTAAATTTCCTTCACAAATGATCAGCTTTTATCTTTTTAGTGCGTCAACTGTTAGAGGTTTTTTATAGTTACAGTATGTCTAGGCGCTCTCTGCTCTTGGTTAAGGTTAGGGAAAGACTGTGATCTTGGTTTAATACAAAAAGAAAGAATGAGTTTACTGTATTGACTTTTATCTGAATTGACAACATGTTGGCGGCAGTTCTGTTTCCCTCTAAACGTAACAGACAAAACAAATTAGCAGTGAGGAGTTGGTCTAACATACAGTATATCTAAGATTAATTAGTAGCAGTGCTATTCAGTTGTTGAAATACAGTTATCTTCTCTATATAAATATAAAGAAATATATATCTTTTAAGTATTGTCTTCTGCCCATGACATAATAAAGACAACAACTGAAGGTGACAGTGTTTTATATTATTTGCAGTAATTGTACAGTGGGTTGCGGAAGGCGTGCATTACTAATTGCATGTGTTTAGTTGGTTCAGTCATTTGTGCATGTGTGAGAATGAATGTATTTTAAAGGGAGCTACTGAGATTTTTGTGTAGTTAACTACTGAAACTACAAACAATTTGGGAATGATATTTTACTTTCAAGTTTAAGGAAAGATTCCATTGTTCAAGCCGTTTATACTCTCCAAATAGGTGCACGTTGAAGACTGTTTTACTTGTTAACATTGTACAAGTCAGATGTTGCAAAACTGAAAAGACAACATTTTCTAGACCAGTGCTCAAACAAGTCAGTCTAAAAAAATGATTTTTTCTTCACTTTTTTAGTCAGATAATACAAAATTCAGATTTGTTGACAACAGACATATAACATTCCTTGCAATCCTGTGCTTGTGAAAGGCCCAGATGAGATTGTTTTGTTTAGAACAGATGTAGGTCTCAGGGGTACTCCAGGAATTGCTGGATTGCAAGCCAAAAATAGTGTTTTAAATCTGAATTTGTAA